TTCTGTTACTATTCTTATCTGCAGTGTTAGTAAACTCGAACGCCCAAGAACTACCTTTCTCTCTCTCGGAGGTTCTCTCTCTCATTTCTTTTTGATTGGATCCAAAAAAATGGATCTAAAAATTTCTTATCAGCCGTTGGAGGTAGACAGCTACGGGCAGCATCTTCTCTCGGGCTCTCTGGTTCTCTCTATCTCGCATGGGCTGCACTATCTTCTCTCTCTAGGGGGAGTCAAGGCTGTGTGGCTGGGTTTGGTGATGCCTATGTGAAATCAATCCTCATCAACACAGCGATATCTCTGTGTGCTGGGTCTTTGACTCAACACATGCTCTCTTTCTGCCCGTGCACCCCCCGAGGGACAGCAAATGCTGTGTTGTTTTTGGGAAGAGTCAGAAAACTTGCATCGCAGCTCTCTCTCTCACAATCTCTCACTTTCTTTTTTTTTATTTTTTATTTTATTTTATTCTTCCACCATTCTAACCACACACCACTCGGTTCCCCACTACCCCTTTTCATTTTTAATTTATGTTATGTTTTTACTTTTCATCATCAGCCTATTCACACTCTCTTCAACTTTCTTTTCTTTTCTATTTATTCCTCCCTCTTTTGTTTATTATAATACCAACCCACACAGCACACCATGAGTTGGAGCCATAATCCAGAGCACTTTCTTTTATTTTAATATATATATATATGTTTATTATAATATATTACTCAAAGCTCCCACTGTGTTCACTTTTGCACAAACTCATACCTCTTTTTCTTTTTCTTCTGGAGCAACTGAGTCACTCTTCACCTTTTGCACCCCACCCACGTTGCTCCCCTTTCTTTCTTTTATTTTATCTTTTTTTTTTTTTTTCATTACACACACACACAAAAGCTAATCGATGCGACGCCGTTGCTGACAGATCAGATCTTCCTGAGCCGCCGGTTCATGCGCCGCCCGCCGAGCCTCCATGTCAGTCGGAGAATGATGCGCGAGCCAGAGTTGAGGGTAAGAGAGGCGGCGGCGGAGCAGATTGAAGAGAGGCAGAGCGATTGGGCGTACTCGAAGCCGATCATGATTCTGGATCTGTTATGGAACTTCGCGTTCGTGTTCGTTGTTTTGTCGATGTTGGTGGTGAGTCGGAAGGAGTCTCCGACGAAGCCTTTGAGGCTTTGGACTGTTGGATATGCGTTGCAGTGTGTGCTTCACATTGAAGATTTAAATTGTCTTCCCGTATTGCCCTCATCCTGCCACGTGTTGAACTGTGATTGGCTTATACAAAATATGTAGCCAACATTACCCCTCGCACTAATATACCCAATACTTGGTGATATTAGTGGATCAAGGTATTTTACCCACGTCTTAAAACGTGTATGGGCTTTGCATTTTCAGAAATGCAACCGCCATTCATCAATGAACATTTGCATTAAATTCTCTTTTCTCCTTTGAACATTCCCATTATCTCAGTATTCAAAAAGACTAGTTCAGTTCTCATTCTGCACCCCACAACCAACTTTGTGCACACATTAATGCTTCTAATGTGTTTGGATGAAGTCTACTACGATGTGGACTCACCAACCTTCCACTAGTACTAAATGCTAACTCAGAAGCAACAGTGGATACAGGAATAGCTAAAATATCCCTAGCTATTGCCTGTAGAGTCGGATACTTTGGTCCATTGGCTTTCCACCAATTCAAAACATCAAAACCTGAAATTCTTGGCAAAACGTCATCTTCTAGATAATGGTCCAACTCTGATCTTACATTCTTCATTTTTTTACTTCTCTTCCTACTAATAAACAAATCATACTCTGAAAGGGTCTCTGTAACAATTTATGGATGAGTAGAAAAATCACCAACAACATCGGTCTCCTTACTAACTCGGTGCTGATACTCTTGCAACAAATCATAACAAATTTGACGAACCCTATCAACTTCATCTTCAGCTTTGTCTCCATAAAGTTTTTCAAAATAAAACTCCAATACACGCATTTTATACTTAGGATCAAAGGGCACGCCTTTTGATGGCACGCCTTTTGAAAGATTGGGCACACCTTTTGAGGGCACGACTTTTGAGGGCTCGATATCTATATCCCTGTATATCTTTTGGGCAGCCTATATACACACTCATACAGTGTCTTCTACACCGGTCAGCTTTATCAATCCCTTTGTTTCAACCTCAAATAGGTTTCTATCTTCACACCTATTTGAGTTTGAGGGGGGGTTATACACAGTATCATGTATAAGTCGCTCATGGCGCACTCCCTAAGTCGCCCCCTTGGTGCACCACCACAACTTTTCTACATCGGTCTGACACGACCACACAGTGTCTGCTACATCGGTCCGACATGACCTCGTAAACTGTCCTGCTACATCGGTCCGGCATGACCTCGTAAACTGTCCTGCTACATCGGTCCGACATGACCCCGTAAACTGTCTTCTACAACGGTCCGGCATGACCCCATAAACTGTCCCAACATTGATTCCGGTTAGCCTCTACAACGGTCCGACATGACCCCATAAACTGTCCCGACATTGATTCCGGTTAGCTCTTACAACGGTCTGACACAACCATACAGTGTCTTCACCAACGGTCTGACACAACCATACAGTGTCTCCTATCCACTTTTATTTTCTGTCTTAGTCTATTTTCTTATTTTGTTACTCTTTCCAAACTCAAGTTGATTTGTGTCTCTCCTCCTTGAGTTTGCGGGGGGCTGTTAAAACCTACCACTACCACCTACTACCACCTACTCCACCTACTACACACCTATACCACTACCACCTACTACCACCTACTCTACCTACTACACACCTACCTACTCTACTCTTCTATATATAGACATCATTGTAAACATATTCTACAACAATCAATAATACATCAATTTTAATATATACGTATATATATACATATATCTAAATTACTAGATGAATTTATTTGTTTAATTTCATGGGAAACACATAAAATTTGTTTTAAGATTGTTGTCCAAATTGTGAAATTAAATACATAGATTCAAGAATAAATTAAAATTATATACCAAGAACACATGTTGAGAATTACATCTGAATCACAATATAAATACACAATATAATAAAATGGTAAAGAAAGCAAACCGAAACCTGCATGGTAGCAATTTCCTTAAAATAGATTTTCGCCGCCTTACGGGTCTAGTGCTTGAGAAATTCCGGCATCTGTCTCACAGGATACGACGATCAAAAACTAGTTACGGTAGAAGCACTCTCTGTCGAGCTTAACGAACAAAAACCATGGCAATAATCTCTTCATGTAGGAACTTTTTAGCAAACTGACTTGTAAAATGGAAGCAAAAATTTCTGTGTTAAGACTAGACATGAGGGTCTCAATTTATACATGTATAGGGGAGAGATGAGGAGCCTTCAACCTTTATGGCTGGTCACTAATGCACCGTTAACCTCTGTAATATTGCAAGAGTTACAAATATATTATATACACTAATCCCACTATATACACCATTAACCTCCAGCCTTTATATATTATATTTCATGAAACTAACTCCATGAGGTAATTTCTTATTCAATTTTTAATAGTTTTTGACCATTCTTTTTGTGATTGCAAAGTATCTAGACTCATTTGGACTCAACACAATAGATGATTGTGATCCATTTTAATATTTAATTAAAGTTATCAAAAACCTATTTTTTCCAACATCGATTACCCCAAAACTTGGACTTATGGATATAGTGATGATATCTCAAAGTATATTTTTTCCGTGTTTCAAAATAATAATAATAATAATAATAATAATAATCATCAGTGTGTTTGGTATAAAAATATAAAAAAATATACTGAATTCTCTTCTCTTTTTTTTTTGTATTTTTGATATTTAATGAATTTTTAAAAGGTTTTTTTTACAAATTTTATACTTTTTAGGTATGTTCATGTTAGGTATGTCTAAAAAATAAAAAAATACTTAAAATATTAAAAAAATTTAGTAAAAATAAAAAAATACAAAAAATAAGAAAATATAATTTTGTCAAAAATATTTTTAAAAAAATAGAACAAAGCAAAGTGAATAATAATAATAAAATAAAAAAACCAAGGAGAGGAGGCCTAGGAGGGTTTAAGAATGAAGTGAAAAAAAGGGCCAAGTGAAAACAATGAAGAACCTCACCCATATATCGTCCCAATTCACATTACACCTTGTGATATATATAGGTAATTATACAATAATTTTGAAATATAGATACGCGTATTTCATTACCATATAATTGGTAAAGAATATGAACAGATAAGATATTATGTTAAGTGATTAAGATAAATAAAAAGATATATTAAATAATGATAGATTAAAAAGTACGAACAAATAATACTCCGAAACATTGAATAATTTCCCTGTTCTATATATACACATTTTCTCTCATCCTTGTGTCCATTACACTTTCTTTTCCCACAACTGATCTGTGAATCTATCTACATATATATATACTAGCGGTTGCAAATTAAGGGTTAGTTTGGGATATTCTAAAAAAGTACACTTTTTAGCTTATTGGCTTATATGGATTGGGTTTAGGTTGGGTTTGATATGATGTGTTAGAGAGGTGATGTGATTTAAATAAGATGATGTGACTTAAATAAGATAGTGACTTTTTGTATTATTTAAGTTATGTCAAACTTGGCCTAAATAAATAGGAATAAAAGAAAATAATAATGAAGTTAATATTATAATATGTACTTAGCTTAAGTGGTATGAGTCTTCATACTTAAACCCATGGTCATGGGTTCAAGCCTTACCCATCTCTTTGTTTAACTTTTTAAAAAAAAAATAAAAAACACTGCACCATATTATGTGTTCACTTTATAATAGTATAGATAGTGGTATGAGTCTTCATACTTAAACCCATAATAGTATAGATAGTGGTATGAGTCTTCATACTTAAACCCATGGTCATGGGTTCAAGCCTTACCCATCTCTTTGTTTAACTTTTTAAAAAAAAAATAAAAAACACTGCACCATATTATGTGTTCACTTTATAATAGTATAGATAGAGAGAGAGAGAGAGGGGTAATGGGGATTGAAAGGGGGAGGAGGGGATTGGTGGAAGATCTGATAGAGAAGGCAGGCGGTTGTGCCGTCGTGGACGGTGGTTTCGCAACTCAGCTTGAGAAACATGGGGCCGCCATCAATGACTCTCTTTGGAGTGCTGTTTGCTTGATCAAAGACCCCGATCTCATTAAACTGGTCTCTCTCTCTCTCTCTCTCTCTCTCTCTCTTCACTATACATTTACTATTTACAACATGTTTGCAATCATTCTATATGTTCAATCTTTTGTTTTTTTTGGGTTTCATTTGATACTTGTTGGGGGGTGTTGGAGATTTGATCTCTGCCCTATAGTTTGCAGGGCTTTAACATGTTTGTATAGTTTTTAGAATACCAACACAAATACAATGTTACATACATATAAAATACCCAAATGAGCTCCAAAAGTATGTGTTAATTTGATTTCCTACTTATTAATTTTGTTATTAAAAAATACACCCTATTTCTGTTTTGTCTATAATTGATAAGGGAAATAAGGATATTTTTATCAAATCACCTGTTACATTCTGTATGTTAAGATAGAGACTAACTTGACACAATTGAAATGTTAGGACCAAAATGAAACAACTCACATATTTTAGGACCAAAATGAAACAACTCACATATTTTAGGAACTATTTTTTTTTCTCTTTGAAAATGCCCCCCTTTCTTTTATAAAGACGTATAGGGATCATTTCGTGACAAAATTAATAAGTTGGGAATGAAATTGACACATTTCAAACAATGGGAACTAACGGGAAATGCTATACCATAAAAATGCGTAATTTTATCATAAAATTTCCTAACATCAATCACAAAATGTATAACTTCACCACAAATTGGCATAATAAAAAACATCATTACCAAGCCACAAACTTTTGTAACGTCAACCATAAAATTTTAGACATTTTGTTACGTCACTTTGTGGCAAGGTTACGTATTTTGTGATTTCTGTTATGAAATTTTATAGTAAATTTACACATTTTTGTGGTAGGGGTGCAGACCATAGGATTTCCCAGAACTAAAATGAAACCCACACTTTAGGACAATTTGCGGATTTAACCCTACATAATACTTGTGTATTGCTTTGTAGTTTAAAATATTCATGAATCTGAAAATGTTGTGTATGTATAGGTTCATATGGAATATTTGGAGGCTGGTGCAGACATATTGGTAACTTCATCTTATCAGGTTTGCAGTGGATTCCATCTAGCCCCTGAATTCAATTAGGTTTATTTATGTTTATTCATTTTACTCCATGATCAATTTCTTTAATGTTTGTATGTACACACACTAAAAAAGAACTAATTTGGTACGAATATTTTACCCACTTAACTGTTTGTTCCAATTATGTCAAACGTGTTTCCTTTGGTTAATTCTAGGCTTCTTGTTGTGTTTTTGTTCTCTTTTCTATTTTCATTTCTTTGAAAAAAAAAAAAAAAAAAACACTTGTTCAATTGTTTCTGAAAAATTATGTTAGGAACAATTCACCTTGAGCAATGTTATCCATAATTCATTTTCTTACCTCATTTCCATTCAGTTTTTAGCAAATGTCAAAAATCCGTTTTTGAATTTTTGCAGAAATAGTTTCCACAAAATTTAAAATGTGAGGGGTTCAAACTTTTCAATATTTTTGTTTCCACAAATAAAATAAAAAAAACAGCAACAGGGGACAGAACAGAATTTGAACTTACCATACCCTTGTTTCTATATATATAGGCAACCATTCCAGGATTCCTGTCCAGAGGACTGTCCATTGAAGAAAGTGAATTGTTATTGAAAAAGAGTGTGAAACTGGCTGTTGATGTGCGTGATAAGTTCTGGGATGCCAAGAATAGAATTTTTGGGCATGGCTATAACAGGGCTTTGGTTGCAGCCTCTATTGGAAGCTATGGAGCGTATCTCGCTGATGGTTCAGAATACAGGTTGGTTTGAATATTTCAATTGTATCAATTTGTCTCCAACTTAACTGATTCATGTTTGAATGGTTCCTCATGCCAATTTTGTCTAAATTTTATATTGCAAACAACGGTAATTCTGTCCAAATCTAGATGAAAATGGCAGTGTCTAAATGTGGACGAAAATGACTCTGAAACCACTCACAAATTGAATTAGTTGGGGACTAAATTATAGGAGTCCAAAGCTGCACACCCTGATGAAAAAGCCTTTTTATCTTATTAGTAAAGCAGTGTTTCACCTTTATTGAGGAGATATAAAAACAATAAATATTGCGAGCAAGGGTATTTCTGTCCAAATTTAGACAATATTTGGATGGAATTTAGATGAAAATGGTACTCTTTAAATTCAAACGAAAAAGACTTTGGGATCATTTAAACACAAACTAAATAAGTTGGGGACAAGATAGATACAATTAAAATATTACATATTCAAATGAAACAGAAGGCACATTTTGAAGGGTCTTGCTAACCACCGCCCTTAGGACAATGGTTAATAGGCAAATAAAGACAGAAAATTTAAAACCTCAGTACACTTTTCACTTATTAACACTTTTATATACACTCCTCATATATTTCAATACATTTTTCAACCTTAATCAACGCCTTGAGTGGAGTGGTTAGCATTCTCCTACTTTTAAATGAGAACAATGTACTGAACCCAATAATGTATGATCTTTATGGTTTGGCTCGAGTAAATAGTTTTGACTTGTTGATATGATCTTTGTATATGTACCTGATGATTTTAAGTGTCTTTTGCATAATCCAGTGGGCGTTATGGACCTCATGTGGATTTGGATAAGCTGAAGGACTTTCATCGCCGAAGATTGCAAGTTCTTGTGGAAGCAGGTCCAGATTTGCTTGCCTTTGAGACCATTCCAAATAAACTAGAAGCTCAGGTATATATAAATATATATGCTTCAAGAACAATCCTATTCTAACTAGCTAGCTATAAACAATGAAATGGATAGCATATTTCAGTCTCTCTGAATAATATACACAATTTGTAGGCTTGTGTTGAGTTGCTTGAAGAAGAAAACATCCAAATTCCATCTTGGATCTGTTTCAGCTCCGTAGATGGCGAAAATGCGCCATCTGGAGAGAGCTTTAAGGAGTGCCTTGATATTGTGAACAAGAGTGACATAGTGTCTGCAGTTGGGATAAACTGTGCACCTCCCCATTTTATTCAAGGTCTTGTTCAGAAATTTAAGCAGGTAATGTGCTATAGACAGTAGTACTTGAAGAATAATAACTTAACTGAAATTTTACAATGTTGTAGTGATCTAAGCTGTTAATTAATTAATTAATTTATTATTATTATTATTATTTTGTTTTTTTGTTTTGTAGTTAACGGAGAAGGTAATAGTTGTTTATCCCAATAGTGGTGAAGTGTGGGATGGTACAGCTAAGAGATGGCTGGTGAGTTTTGTTGTTCCATTGCTTTGTATTTTTGCCAATACCACAATGTTAATCATGCATCTCTCTTCCCTCTCCCTCTAATGCTCCATTTGTTTCAACAAAAAACGTTTGAGAAATTTTTTTTACAGATTATATCTTCCGTATAAAACCCTAAAAAATGATGTGCTATTGGTTGTGATTATGGTGTAACGGTTGTCATGGTGGAGGCAGTGAGGATAGTTGTGTGCTGGCGGCAGTGAATCCAATTGTGTTGGTTGTGTAGTGAAGGTGCGTCTGGAGACACATTTTGCACCTTTAAAAAGTGAAAAGCGTTTTTTCGCTCAAATTAACCCATTTTCTGTGGCCATAGAAAACGTTTTCCATTACTTTTACCAGAAAATATGACAATATTTTTCAAAAAACGTTTTTTGTTGAAATAAACCGAGGCTAAAACACACTGTTGAATTTATTTAGATTAACTGACTCTCCATGTCATATGCATTGGGTTTTGACAGCCATCAAAGTGTTTTGATGATGAAAAGTTCAAGTTGTTTGCTATGAGATGGCGAGATTCAGGAGCTAAACTCATAGGTGGTTGTTGTCGAACTACACCTTCCACCATTCGAGCCATCTGCAAGGTGTTAAAAGAAAAGACAGCCCCCCCTTGATTTCCATTGTTTCACAATCAAAGATAGCTACTCTCTTGTTTTATTTATTTTTTTTTCTTTTCATTCATTTTTTGCTCATCAGAGGTAGCAATGAAAATTATCTCACCAGTCTCTTCTTTTTTCATTTTTTTATTTTTGGGTTTTTTTTTTCAAAGCATATAAGAATTAAGCAAAAGATTTTTAAGGCAAATTACATCAATGTCCCTGTAATTTGTTTTGTGTCTATTTGGCTCTTGTAGTTCCAATTATAACAATTTTGCTCATTTTTTTTTGTTAGATTTTATTAATTTGATTTAATTGATAACATCTACTAAAATTGGACAAAAAATAGCGCATTTAAAAAGCATCATTTCAAATTGGATACTAAATTCTCAATCACTTTGGAGAGAGTAAATGAACTATTTGTATTTTTATTTCAGTGTAATTTCTAAAAATGTATTATTAGTTGGACTAATTGACACAATATATAGTGACTATTATTGATCTTAGCCTTACTTTGAAATTCTAGCTAAAGCAACAGAACAATGCAAGAATTAAATTCCATCAATCAAACCAACAATGCTCTCTGCATAGGTGATGATTTATGCAAGAATTCAACCAGGGACTGTGACCCATATAATGGGGAAATTTTAATATACACTCTGGAAAGGGTGTATTATATGTATTTTTAATTATGTTATTTTATTCTTTATCTATGACTAATTTTTTTATTTAGTTATAACTCATCAGCTCTTTAGTTATATTTCATGTTGTGTTTGGTTATGACATTTATTTTTTAATTACGGTTCAAAAAATATAAAATTATGTTATTTTTTTTACTTAATTATAAGGTATTAAGGTACATATGGTATATGAGTTTCTCAAATGTCCTATGAGATCCATCTTATCTCAAGTGGGCCTGCTTTCAAGGTCCTTCAAGACTCAACAGAATTATGGCAACGCAACACGCATGCATGCCTTAAATTTAGACCATTACCAAAGATTCAAAAGTCATTAGAAGTCATGAAATTCACCATTTTTAAAATGCTATTTTTGTCATTTTAATTTTTAATATTTAAATTGTATCAATTGAATTTCTAATGTACAAGAAGTTTTTCAAATTGGTTTTATTAACCCAACTCTATCCATAAATGCCGTTAAAGATAGAGATAAATGTGGAAATTTACTTAAAAATTTACATTTTTAGTCTCTACAAATATTAATGTGCCATTAGTGTAGAAACTTACCTAAGCAATTTATACTGTCTTGGGTAAATTATGTGTCATTTTGATCTCAAAATTTAACGGCTATTTCCACAATTTGGTTAGGGGACCAAATTGAAACACTTGTTATGCGTTCAGAATTAAATTGACACAATTTAAATATTGGACACCAAATTAACACAAATATTATATTTTAAGAACCAAAAATATATTATTTATTTATTTATTTATTTATTTTTTGTAGAATTAGGAGCAGGTTAGGCTAATCAATATACTTTCCTTGTATCGACCTAATACAAACCTAAATTTCAAAAATAAAACTTTGTATTAATTGATATACTGATTAGTATACTAACAGATGTTGTACTATAATTTCAGAAGTTTTGAATATTTGTAATTTATATAATGGGTAAGGTTAATGATAATACCATAATATATGTTGGTATACCAATTAATATAATAATTAGTATAAATAGTATTCCAATTTTGCTTTTCTCGAGTTGGAGAAATTTTGGAAAATTCACCTATAAGAGAAACTCATCACTGTTCAAATTTTAAAATTTCATAATTATGTCCAACTACATATTTATGTCGGGAATAATGATGACGATAACAGTTGTAAATTGTAATCATTAGTACTATAAATTTCACATGGATTCCATTAATAATTAACAATTATAAATACTAATTGGTTTTGTTGAAACAACTATTTGCTCTTCCCTGGCATCAACTGCCAAAGGCCATGTCCTGTAAAGCCCACATGATCACATGATACTGCTTAAGGCCTAATTTGAAACTTGGTCAAAAGTTAAAAATCATCACAATATCTATCTATTTTTTTTATGTTTTTTTTTTAAAAAATTAAAAATTTTAAAAATTTAAAAACTAATTTTTAATCAACTACCCAAAATAATTCTAACCAGCTGGGAAAGATAGATATACAGGCCTAAGATAGGCCTTGGGTCCTACATGGCTTTTGTATGTCCCTTCCCTTGAACTATTTTTCATGTTTTGTTGATTGTTTAATTTAGGGTAAAATACACTTTTCAAAATTTATTTTATTTCCTATTGTTTCAAATTAAGTAATTTAATCTTTATAATTTCAGTCTGGTTTTAATTTATTCATTATATTTAAGTTGGAGGTTAAAATTAATAATTTTGAGGTACCTTATCAATCTCCTCAAATGTACACGTAGAAAAATTTAACGAAAGGGCCAAAATGAAACTAAATTGAAAGTATAAAGAACGAATTGTTCAAATTAAAATAATAGGAATCCAAGTAAAATTTAAATCAACTTACAAGAATCAAAAGCGTCATTTACTCATATTTTAATGCCAGCAAGATAATTACCAACAAGTCTTATGAACTAGACTTATTTATTTATTAATCACGAGTAAAAATGTTTTATGTATTTGTTGCTTGTTTTTATAATGAATTTTTGGGGGACTTTTTAGATGCATGCTTTGTGTTTATAGAATGATCATTTAACAATAATAATGATACTATGAAATTTATTAAAATTATAAATGATTGGAATATTTTGCCTTTTGTTGGTGGGTTTTAATTTATTTTTAGTTCAATTTTTATTTATTGAAATATATAGAATAAGAAGTATAAATAGTTGAATTATATTTTTTAAAGATATTTTCAGAATAATAAATTTATCATTAAAAATTAAAAAAAAAAACTTATTAATAAATAAATTCGGTCTATAAAATCGACCCGTGATTGGCCCAAAAAATAATACAGAGCCGAACACCAGGATTGAAATTTTGGACCTTTGTGAGTTCCTTATAACACAAGCTTCATAGGGGAATTACCATTTCTACGTGAATTCTTTACGACACAAGATTTATCTTTTGAGTCAAGTCATGTTCATTAGGTGGGAATTAAGCCTCAAGATCACATCCTTCTTATCTCTTCTTTCTTACTTGACTTAAAAAATCCAATGATTTCTTAAATCAATGAGTTGAATTAGTGAATAAGACGTTTGCTTACTAGGTGTAATATAAGGGTTTAAGTTTGATTATTGTACTCTTTCTTAATCAACAAATTAGTTTGATTAGCTAGAACTTTTACACTTCATTAGAAAGTTAGTAGTTCAAATTGCTCCATCTGTATGTGCATCTTATTCTCTGTGTATTAATTGAGACTTTCTCTCTCATTTTTAAGAGTTTTTTTTGTAAAAGTTTGTATAGTATTTTATCTTCATTACCTGTGACGGTAATTTATTGGATTTCATTATAATATCTTATATGAATCAATCTTATAAAAATAAAATAAAATAAAAACACTTCTCTTTCTTATATTTCTCTCATCCTAACACTACTTGTTAAAAAAATAAGGGTTATATTTATTTTACGCCCTAATGACTTGTGAAATAAATAGTAGCGTTGGAGTGAAAACAAATAGTAGCGTTAGAGCCAAAAGTTAGTTAAGTAAAATATGTGAAATAAATAGTAGCGTTGGAGCGAAAAGTTAGTTAGGCAAAATAGAAAATATAGGTTGCGTTTGGTAGAACTTTCTAAATATGATTTGAGAGTATGAGTTGTATTTTGAGTTTGTGAGTTTTGGAATTATGATTTGAATGTGAAAAATTTGTTTGGTAAAAGAGTTTTGAAAATAGTTTTGAATTGAGCATGAAATTTTTGATATGACATATGATATTTGATACAAAAATTTACAACTCATAACCAAATATAAAACTCAAAATTCTATTTATAGAATGATCATTTAATAATAGTAATGATACTACGAAATTTATTAAAATTATAAATGATTGGAATATTTTGCCTTTTGTTGGTGGGTTTTAATTTATTTTTAGTTCAATTTTTATTTATTTATTTATTTATTTTTTGGGGTATTGAAATATATAGTATAAGAAGTATAAATAGTTGAATTATATTTTTTAATGATATTTTCATAATAACAAATTTATCATTAAAAATTAAAAATAGAACTTATAAATAAATAAATTCGGTCTATAAAATCGACCGGTGATTGGCCCAAAAAATAATACCGAGCCGAACACCAGGATTGAAAATTTGGACCTTTGTGAGTTCTTTATAACACAAGCTTCATAGGGGGCTTGCCATTTCTACGTGAATTCTTTACAACACATGATTTATCTTTTGAGTCAAGTCATGTACATTAGGTCGGGATTAAGCCTCAAGATCACATCCTTCTTATCTCTTCTTTCTTACTTGACTTAAAAAATCTAATGATTTCTTAAATCAATGAGTTGAATTAGTGAATAAGACGTTCACTTACTAGGTGTAATATAAGGGTTTAAGTTTGATTATTGTACTCTTTCTTAATCAACAAATTAGTATGATTAGCTAGAACTTTTACACTTCATTAGAAAGTCAGTAGTTCAAATTGCTCCATCTATATGTGCATCTTATTCTCTGTGTATTAATTGAGACTTCCTTTCTCACTTTTAAGAGTTTTTTTTGTAAAAGTTTGTATAGTATTTTATCTTCATTACCTATGACGGTAATTTATTGGATTTCATCATAATATCTTATATGAATCAATCTTATAAAAAAAAAATAAAAAAAATAAAACACTTCTCTTTCTTATATTTTTCTCATCCTAACACTACTTGTTAAAAAAAAAAAGGGTTAAATTTATTTTACGCCCTAATGATTTGTGAATTAAATAGTAGCATTGGAGTGAAAATAAATAGTAGCGTTAGAGCCAAAAGTTAGTTAAGTAAAATATGTGAAACAAATAGTAGCGTTGGAGCAAAAAGTTAGTTAGGCAAAATAAAAAATATGCATTT